ACTACTACCTGTACTCTAGGTGGAGTTAAATGCTGGGAAGGAGTGTGAAGTCATCTTCCACCGGGTCATGAAGGAAACAACGCCTATGGAGAACCTATAGAACTCATGAAGTCCAAAAGGTGGGTCAGGGGACAAGTGTTTATGTCCTTCTTCAGGTTTTGTCACATTTCCTGTTGCTTTATTCAAACGCCAACTTCTCGTCTGAGAGAATCTTGTTTTATTTCACCAGTAATCGCTGCTGGCGAAACAAACCTCACAAAAGTGATGACTCAGAAGGGAGGACCTGAGGAACAGCTTCCTGGCAGGAATTCATCGTCTGGAAGAAGAGGATAACATTTTTTTTGTAGTGGACAAAATAGAAAAATTAAATCTAGGACCTTACGAAAGCTTCATGGGAGCCTTTTTGGTTTCTCAGTAGGAACTGCAACGACCTTTCAGCCGTGTTCTGTTTTTATATAGAAGTCTTCCTCTAATGACTGTGTTACCCATGAGGCTCCAAACTGAGAAGTTTTCTTATCAAAGTATCTGATATTCAGATTATATATGTAACTAATCCTTGACTACATTATTTTAAATAAAAAAAGTTTGTTGTAAAACAAAAACAGCTGTTTTAATTGCAGATTACACAATGGGGTCGGTGAAAATTGGCTTTATAATTTGATAATTTTATGTTCATATAATAAAGTCAGCTTGGATAGTTTATGCAGACTTATAAACCACAATCAGCCCACATTATATGGTAGCAAGTTTACAGATGTGCAGTAAACCTGAGCGTCTCTCAGTTGGTGTAACTCTGAGCATGTGTGTGTGTGTGTGTGTGTGTGTGTGTGTGTGTGTGTGTCAGTGAAGAGCAGGATGTGGTTGAGTAAGGATGCAGTGTGGAGGGAAGGAGGGAGGAAGGTTGTACAGAGGTGCTAAGCTGCTGACTCAGCTCTTCCCACATTTGACACATGACAGTTACTGAGATGCTTCAAGTGGAAAAAAAAAACACCCAGAAGCACTGAGAAGTGTGTGAAACATGCACGCCAGTCTGGCCAGATGCACGGGATTCTGTCTAGACATGAAATGTAAGTAAGAACGTGGACATTCAAAAGTAGACAAGCACGACAAACAGCAGAGCAGAGGAAACCTCGTCCACAGCAGGTGGAACGGCAGGTAAACAAATTCACTGCTGAAACAGAAATGGAACAACTGACCTCAGGCGCTTTAGAAATAATTTGGGTCATTTCCTGTTGCAAGAGTCTCAGATAAACATCTCTACATGTTGGTGAAGCAAGCGCACCAGGATGCTTTTGCAAACACAAAAAGAAATAACGATGCCTATCTTTATTTGTTCATCACATGCTTAATCTGTCTCGTTTTATGACGCTATCTCAATGTTGCAAGATTGCACGTTCATAAAAGTTTCAATTTCATGCAATTACTCTAAAATTTAAGACGCAGCTAAAAGCCAGAAGAAACAAAATATAGCTCTTACAGTTTTAGAAAGATTTTATCTACGGAGTTTGTGACCTTGACCAAATCAAGCTGTTTACGTGGAGGGCGTCCCCAGTTTGTCAGGATAATGCACGTGTGTAAGTGGTCGCCCATGCGTGCACTCAGGTGTGCATCTGCTCTACTTCTGTCAAATTGCCTCACAGATGTTGGTAGCAGCCGATGTGTGACTTTAGCTTTAGCTAAAAGTCTCTCCACCATGTTTCAGTGGAGCTCTGCAAGCCGCGGGAAGGAATATGATAAACAGCAAAGCTGTTACATCATCTGCAAACAGTTTCACTCTGCAGAGTTTCCCAGAAAGGCAGCAGTGAGCCACTACTGACTGATCAGAAATGAAAATTTTGCAGCAAAATGCAGAAACCGGGACAAGCTTTAATCTCAGTCTCAAATATAACTCTCCGGGTAAGAAATGCAACCCCTCCAAACCAAACAAACAACTGACTTGTCTAAATATGAACAAAGGTGATCCATTGAGAGGGAAGAAAACCAACCTTGCTGCATGATTCTCACAAGAAGCTTTAACCACATGTGACCGCTGTAACCCAACATTTTCTGCAAAACATGCAAATTGCCTAAACTAATTTTAGTTTGCTGGTTCAGAGATTAGATAGAGGTTACCTTTTCTTTCTTACTTTACTGGATTTTTATTTTAAGTTGAAATGTCCGTTTTTTCTGTTAAAAAGGGACATTTATTAAATGTTCCCTGTTCTGTTCCTTTGTGATAAAAGCAAAACTCGTTCTGAAAAACTGGATCGATAACTTTGTTTTCTTTATCCAGCCAAAATTCGGAGTCCTTGTCTTCATTTAAGACCCAAACAAACTGCTTGCACTGGCTTAGCTGTCATACATCCGTTCTCTTGTTGACAGATTTTTGAACTCATCTTTGCTTTACCTGCTTGCCTTTGCCTGTTTCACAATAAGGGTTTTTTTGTGTGTTTTGAAAGGCACCCACAATTAAAAAGCTCTATAATAATAATAATGATAATGATAATAATAATAATTATTATTATTATTTTTATTGTTATTATTTTTTATTGTTATTAGGTACCACCAACAACAGTAACAGTAACAACATTTGAGGTCATTTGATCACACATGACACATATGATACAGTACAAAATTGACCACTAATGTATATTTTAATCCCTAACAGAGTGTGCTAGGTTTTGTCAAAGTCATTGTTTGTAAGGTGGTCGCTCAGTGAAGAGGGGAGAGGTGACAGGTGATATGATGCAACAGGACATGATACATCTTTTGTACGTTTATTCTGTCTCTACAAATGGTCAACGTCACATGGACGTGCAGATTGTGTCTATATTGAGTCTGTCGGTCCAGACAACATCTGTAGGACGTCCAAACTAGGTCTTTGAACAGTGGGGTGTATCTCATCTAACTGTATTACTCGGTTGGCCACGGAGAAGCTCTGAGGAAGACTGCAGTTTTAGTCAAAACATCAGCAAAAACAAGGTAAACATCTCTTTTGCTATGTTAAAAGAAAACAAGTAATGCAGGACGTGTTACGATGCAACGCAGTACAACATGATGCGAGTGTGTGCACTGGGACAGCAGCAACTCAGGAGGTAGAGCCGGTGTCAGTACAGGATCTGCTCGGGTGCAAGATCGGCTCGGGGTCCTTCGACTGCCGATGACGTCAAAGTACGGCAAACCCACTCGGACAAAATACACTACACATCTATACTGTTGGAAAGAATTTAGCAGTTTCGTTATTAAAATAATGTTTCTTAAGACGTAAGTTTGTGTTTATAATAGTATTTGTAAAATAAAACACTATATTTGATTCATGTTGAACTCCTCTTTGAGCACATCCCTTGAAGGATCATAGGTATTAGCAACACCTGTGAAATTGTATTTGCAGGAAAGAAGTGTGTCCCGTTTATTGAAGTATTTGTGTTGAGTTTTTGACGTCTTGTCCATGCGTAGTTCAGTTACGCTCATAGCTGCTAGCCAAAACTCTGGAGTTAAAAGTTTTCTGGCTTTACTAAAATACCTGTCTGTACTTATTTGATTGATGGTAGTTTTACTTTCTATTAGACTCCAAATGTAATCATTTGGCACGTTTCTAATTCATAATTTGTAATAATGTAATCGGCGATATTAGCATTAGCATTCCTATGGGTTTTTCCATGTATATTAGCATTGCGCTAACCACTCGCTGCCAAATTGCAGCCTTTGCCATTAGAAAATCTCCTTTTGTCACATCGCAATTTAATTGCACATGCAGTTAATCGTTCAGCCCTAATATACTTGCAGCTCTATGCTAAAAGTGTATTTTCAAAGAGGTAATGATGGATTTCTTTGTAAAAGTTGTCCATCTTTCCAATAGAAAAAAATTTGCCTGGACCAACGTCACGTGATAACAACGTTACGTGATTACGTAATTCCGTAAGGTTCATGTTCAGCCAATCAACTACTTAGACGTCATCGGCAGTCGACGGACCCGAGCAGATCTTGTACCGACACCGGTTGTCCTGTAATCGGAGGGTTGCTAGATCTATCCCAGCTAGATCTATGAATAATTCACTGTAGTGTAAAGTGCTTTGGAGTTCTCTGACTCAGAAAAATGATAAACAAGTGCAGGTCATTTAACATTTTATCATTTACAATATCTACAACACAGAATGATAAGATTTGATACAATACGTTAAAATATGACACAAAACTGTCTGAAACAATAGGAAATGATATGGTACAATACTATATGGTACGGTGTGATACAATAATAAGTGAAATGACAGTACAATATGATGTTTGAAATGAGATACAACACTGCAAGATAAAATGTGAAACAAACAACACAATCCAAAATGATTCAAACTGATATTTGTCTACGTGAAATGATTGATGTGACATGATCTGATGCTACGTGATACAATAATGCTGTAAGGCACAGGTGATCAAGCCAGGAATTAATTTTGTCAACATATAAAGGAGCATAAACTAGCATTAGTTTCTAACTGGGGTTATAATTATCAATCTCCTGTAACTCTTCATTCTCTGGTGGAAAAGACGATTGCAGAAGCCATAAGTCACAAACGAAGGCTCATCTTTATCAGAGTTCTTACTAGTGAGTGTAACACCATCTCAGAGAAACTGCTTGGAGTCATTTATGAACTAAAGCTATGAAAACAGGCTGACATGTTACAACATTACTCTTCAAATACCTGAGATTCCTGCCATAAGCATGTCTGAGAAATATTATTATGATTGCGCTCCTCACATTCCATACCATGTGAACAAATTAAAGTGGAAATTATTAAGGTTTCATTAAAATCCCTGTGCTGCCCTTTTTCAAAACATCACATTGCTGATTCTCCGTAGTTTGGCTTTTCAGACGAACGTCTTGGAAACATTTCCAAACGGCCTCTTGTGCTCTTAGCTGTCTGGAGAGGCGTAACGGTGTCTACGTTTCATTGACAGCACCTGGCAGGATGCAACAGTGTACGTGTTGTGCCACATGGAAGAGGAGGTAACGAAAGCAAACATGTCGTGGCGTACGTGCAAAAGGGTCCCAGCGGCAATGAAACGTACCTCATAGGTAAGTCCACTTTTGAATGGGCTGCTCTTCAGCAGCTAATCAACGATACCTTGTACCCAGATGGGTGTTTGGTGGGCTCTTCAAGCTGTTGAAGATGTGTTTGTGTGGTTTTCATGAATGCCAAAGGAGGAATTTTGCAGAAAACTGTCTTGTTATGAAATTCAGACTAATCGTCCGGGATTAGAACACCGAAATCACATAAAGCAAGTATTTTTTTGCCATAAAGCACAATTACAAACTTGATTGCACATTTTATGCAATACAAATTTGGCAAGTCTTCTTCCTCTAAACTGCGTTCAGCGCCCGGCTGCTTACTGTCAGTTGGGTGTTTGATTCCGAGCCTGAATCAGTTTGTTTCTACAGTTCTGGGTGTAAATGCAGCTCCCTGCTGCTCCTGTTAACGAAGCTAGAAAGCTGCGAGTGAGTCAGAGTGGTAAAGCTGTGGCAGATGCAGCTCAGCTCTGAGAAAAAGGGTTGAAACTCTGTGAAGAGCCAGGCTTCAGACACACTTGAAATCAGATCACCTGCAACTTTTGTGAAGCTGATGCCGAAGTGGGAAAAAAAAAGTGGCGTCTCTGGTTTGCTTTGTTGTTTAACAGCTGAGAAAAAATGACATGTTAGAAACTTTAAAACAGCTAAATAAAATAATAAACGTCTGCCATTTTTCTGGAAATGACTTTGTTTATGGTCTCTAAATTAATATTAATTAATACTGAAGAGTCTGAAGAGTTTTGTTCTGATTTTGTTTTTTGTCAGAAATTTTAAATTCTGCGTGAACGTCTTCTAGAAAATTCACTGTGTGCTTCAGTGGGTTCATCACACTAAATACACCGCAGTAAAACAGCATCTTACATTCTTGTAATCATAAATACAGTCACACAAAAGCTGGTTAGTAACATGAAATAAAATATATAGATTTATTATAGATGAAATTTTAGTTTTTTGAGCAGTAAAAGGCATTCACCATCAGTGGAAATAATAAAATTCATTTATTATGATTTGTTGGAGAAATTTAAAGCTTTTTAAAAATTGAAATCTCATAGTCTATTATTTTCTTTAACTTGACATCAGAACTTTTCAAAGCACAGGACGTATGCATGTATTTGTTTTCCTACACCACCTGCTTTGGTAAATAAACAGGAAGTGATGTGCATCCAGTTCCCCTTAGACGCCACTACAGCGAGGAACTTTCCCCCTAACCTTTCGGCACTCTCGGATATTCCACTTCATACTTTGCAGACGTCATTTTCACATCTGCAAGTTTTATTTCTTATGTTAAAAAATAAAAAAAATCACCTCTGTGTTCATTAAATCCATTTTAATATGGATTACAGTCAAATACATCCAACGTTTGTCCACAGGACTGACACTTTCATCATAAGCTGAACATTCTCACAGCCTATAAAAAGAAACAAATAAATAAAACATGTCATGATCTGAGCCACTTCGAAAAATTATTTATTATAATATAAATAATTATAATCAATTTTTTTCAGAGTGCCTCAGATCATGACTTTTTTTCTTCCATATCTACTTTTGAAGTTTTTATGATCTTGAAGAGCACCCGAGATACTACAGAAATTATAGATATATCTAGTCCCACTGATGCACTCACTCCCACCTGTTTAAATAAATAAAACATTTGACTCATTCTGACTATCTTTAGATTACAGAATATATATATATATATATATATATATATATATATATATATATATATATATATATATATATATATATATATACACACACACACACATATATATATATATATATATATATATATATATATATATATAAACAGATTAAGAACAACTATAAAGTCTCATCCGCCCCTGAAACATATTGCACATCAGTTCAAACGTAGTGGCATCTACAAGAAAACATCAATATAAATAAAAGCAGATAAATAAATCCATGTCACAGAATAAATAAAATAAAAACATATTTACACGAAGACTTTGGTTGGAGGTCAGCGTTTTGCTCATTTGTGAATTCCACCTTGAAGTTCTTGCTGAGGTTCTTGCATCGCCACTGCAAGAATCCCATTATAGCTCTAAAATGACACCAGAACCTGCATCTTTTCACCCGTTTGGAGTTTTAGTCCGTGGTTGGCGTTTGACCCAAGATCTTCTGGACGGCTGCAGAAAAAGCTGCCTCGTTTTAGTCTATTAGGAACAACCCCAGTCCAGAGTTCTTCAGGTCCAGTTTCCAGTCCTGAAATCCCTTATCTGGCACCCTCATTTGGGTGATCAGTCCTTCGTTTTCCAACGTGCTCACTGTCCAGCACTTCTTGCTCACCGATTTTTTGTGTGAAGGCAGCTCCACATCGCAGGTCAGCTTGTTGCTCACGTTCAGGTGGACAACACTTGTGTTGCAGCGGGAGGTGCACGTGATCTTCACCTCAACGTACATGAAGTAGACCCCCGACTGCTGTGGCTTCAAGGACATCTGATGCGAGTCAAAGACAAACTTGCTTCCTATAGAGGATCCAACTCCATACTTGACATCAGCCCACTCCATGGTGCCATTCTTCAAGGAGCCTGAGGGAGGAGACAAAACGTTTACATTAGAAGATGTAATAAAAGCCCTTGTTTCACTTTTGTAGAAAAATCTGAATCATTTTGATGATTTCAAATTGAATAAAATAGCTTTTAGTGTGTCATACTACAAATGTCATATTATCAAATTACAGATGTTACAAAGGGATGAAGCTTTTTTCTTCATTTTCCCTCTGGGATTAATTATTTGTGGGATTGAAAATTATCTTTTATCATTCCCTCTAATTATCAATATTTTTAATTGAATTATGAATTTACCAGGGGCGGTTCTAGGCCAAATTTTCCAGGGGGGGCACAGTGGGGCCAGTATTTTTTCATGGGGGCGCAAGAAAAAAAGGGAAAAATTTGTGCAATATTAAAATTCTTTTTTGTCGTCGCCATATGACAAATTTTGTGCTTGTGCACAATTTTGCCAAAAGGAAATTCATTGATGTTAGGAAAATAAACTGTACTGCTTGCCTTCGTCTCTCAGCGTATTTTCCGTTAGTCGTCCTCAAGAATTTCTTTGGGTCCCATTTAAACTATTTTTAATCTTTTATTCAAAAATCCACCAGGTAAACAGTTCTGTCCAAAGAGTGTGCTGCACTCTAAAGGCTCTGTTTGAAATGCTGCAGCACATTAGTTCCCGTCTCCGAGGCAGCGCGGGAAAAAAAAATCTGATCTCTTCAGCACAGGGGCCATAACAGGGGCCAGGGCCGGTTCTATAGGGGCCCAGGCCCCTGTGGGCCCCTGTTTAAAACCGCCAATGATTTAAACTAAGAAAATGTTAATTTTTGCTAAACTTTCTGAAAAAAGTTTCTGAAGTTGAACAAAAATATTCTAATAAAGCCAGTTTTTGTGTTTTTAACTAATAAATAAAACTTACTTTTCATTGCTTCCAGGTAGGCAAACTTCTCCATCTGTTAGAATTAAAAAAGATAGAAAACTGGTTGGAAAATGAGCAGAAAACAGCTGAAACAAAGAGATGATAGATTTCTGATTAGAACAAAAGACAGCTTTGCTTACATTAAATGCAACAGAAGGTTGTTGTGCTCCGCTCATCTTCTCAAATAATTCCGACTCGGAGACGCGCCGAGGGACGTCCAGCTTGGACTGCAGCTTCTTCACAGCCATGACTCCAAACGCAGCCAGCGCTGCCACCAATGCAAACAGAACAATGATGGACGTGATAAGAAACGCGTTCAGGCAGCTCCCACTCCGGCGGCCACTTTTTTGGAGCGACTCCACGTCTGCTGTGTTGTTTTCTTGTCCCATGAATCCGCTGTGAAGGTGTCCGAGCTTCACGAGTTAAGTCCAACAATGACGCTTCAGCGGTAAAAGTCCAATTTATAGTCCGGCGGCCCTCACGCAGCTTAGCGGGGTTCGTGGAGGAGAGTGGAGCAGCTTTTGGCCCCATGATGGCTTTTTATACTTTATGCTACTGCGTGCAGTTTCAGATGGAGCAAAAACGCGGAAGTCATGGGTTTCTCTCTCGCCTCCACACACGCAAGCGCGCGCACACAAACACACACACACTGATAGAGCATCTCTGTGACAGGCGAGAAAACAGATGAGCAGACTTTCCGCGGCCGTCCTCGCTCTTGCGCAAAGTGCGCATCAGAGCAGGAGCGGGTGTGCGGCGGAAAACGAAAGACACACACACACACACACACACCACACACACACACACACACACACACACACACACACACACACACACACACACACACAGGTCGACGCAGATAAAAGGAGCCCCCGCCCACTAAATATTGTGTGTGTGTGTGTGTGTGTGTGTGTGTGTGTGTGTGTGTGTGTGTGTGTGTGTGTGTGTGTGTGTGTGTGTGTGTGTGTGTGTGTGTGTGTGTGTGTGTGTGTGTGTGTGTGTGACAGAGGGATGGAGGGGAGCCGTAGAAAGCTGAAGTTGGAATTTCCTTCATCGTGAGAGCGAGAGAGAGAGAGAGATACAGTCGAAGGCAGTGTGAGGAGAGGAGAGGAAAGAGAGAGTGTTTCCACCGAGCTGACTTTCACTTCACCAAACACTTAAAAAAATCACGCAACTGTACTTGCACATGATCCACATTCCTGATCAGCAGGTGCATCATCATCACTTTTCGTTACCACCATGGTCTTTTGTAAAGAGAAAAGCCAGGATGAGTTCTTCCCATGATTTTAGTTTCTTTTTAAGTCACTTAAAATGTTTTCAAGCTTGCACAATGAGGAAGCTTTGTGCAAATGTATGCAAATGTATTCTTGAGTGACAGGATTTTCTCCCATTTTCACATTTCTGAAAACTATTCCTGACAGTCAGTCCCTGTACTTTTTACTCAGAAACAGATAGAAATACCAGAAATCCTTCTTTCATGTTCCAAAAACGGAATCAGGACACAGCTAAAACACAAAACGTTAACCTAAAGCCTGTGGTTATAACTCTAACCTTGCTTGTTTTATTATCAACCCCATCATGAAGCTGCTACCTTTGCATTAATATTGCTGTATAATAATTAAAATGTAAACCTTGCTTTCTAAGAGAAATTCAAAGAAAGCTGGTGTCATAATCTAGTAAAAATTCTGATTAATTTGATAAATCTACCAGAAAAAAGCAGTGAAACGATGAAATAATCATCACAGAAACAAAAACAAACCTTAAAATGGCGCATGACGTTAAAATACCCATAGGGTGTCTCATATTACATCAAAACAGATTTTTTTTGCATTATCACAGGTTTTGTTTGCATTTGTTCTGCAACCATCACAAGCAGGGCCAGATTACCACTTTGTTGGACCCTGGGCAACAATATTCAAGGGCCCCATCATCACGACCCAAGGATCACCATAATATGGTCACATACAGAATATTTTACTGTAATATGGAGTAAATATACTCAATACTTGAATGCCTGACATCATGTAACCCGCTCAGGGTAACCTTACCCTTTGACCCACCTCGTGTGGACTGACCAATGAGGAGAGGGTCTTAACTTGAGGCCCTGTCTTCATTGGTCAGTCTGCATGAGACTGACTCTCAACCACTCTCAACTGACGTTCAAAGTCATTGGCAGTGCAAAAGCCCGGGTGGACAGTTTGATTAATATAGGGTGTGAGGGGTTGTGCCGTGGTCTGCCTGAGTGTTTGTGGCAACTGGGTCTGGGGGTTTAAGATTTTGGCATCTGCCTGATAGATCTCGGTGGCTGCCTGGTGGGGTCTGGGTCCCTGGGCTCTGCTGGGTCCCCGACGGGGGTGGTCGCCCCTGGGTCCCGGGTCGCTGGGTCCCGGGCTCGGCCGGCTAGGGGGTGGGAGGCTGCGGGCGGGCCTGTGTGCTTGCCGCTGATGTCTCCCGGGACTCTGCCGGCTGCTGGTTGTGGCCCCACGGGGCGATCCTCTGTGCCTCTCGAGGGGGGCGGGGGCCTTTCTGGTTGCAGTCTCCTTGGGGTTCCTGTGTTCTGGGGCAGCGCCTGGATCTCTGAGACTTGGAGCTCCCCCCGTCTCCTGTGCATCTTTCGGGGGCGGATCTGTGGCCCCTCACACTCTCTGTTGGACGCTCCTATAGAGAAACCTTACATAAACAAGCGCGTGTACACTCACAGGTGCTCACATGGTGCTCTCAAAAGTATGGGCTTGGGAACGTTAAACACAGGTCTTAAGACTATGGTGGGCACTTAATGCACTGTGATTTATTATCGTGATTCTTCAGTTAAGCAATGTTGATTATATATTTTCTTCATCAAGTTGACGCAGTGATAGCTAGATCTTGTTGTATTGTTGTTGTGTCCCTTTTTTTGCCCTTTTGCTTTTTTTTGTCTTTTTCTGCAGGTCTAGAAGCAGACTCTTGTTCATTATTGTTTATTTTTGTGGACCCCCCCCCCCCCTCTCTCTCTCCCCACCTTTTCTTTTCCTTTCTCTTTCACCTCTGACTCCGTGTCTGGTCGGAATTACAAAGCATTCAACAACAATAACAATAAAGTTTTAAGTATCAGGCGTGACATTAAAAGCAAACGCTTTGATGCTCCACCTGAGAGTAAATCCGTAAGGCTTGTCACCAGCATTCAGACATTCATTCTGCTTGCTTCACAGCCAGACAGGACACGGTAAAAAAAAAAAAAAGGGTGATCATATTTCCATTTCCAAACAAGAGGAAGGGGATCTGTGCCTATGACGTCACACTATGGCAACGCCACACAAACCACGTTGGGACCCATTTTTTTGTAAGAACTAAATTAATATCAGATTCTGCCAATAAAAGGGCTCTAACACAATTCATGTGTAAATATTTAGCATATTTATAGCAAAATCTCTTTTTTCTGCTTTAGTGCTGCAACAAGGTTTTATTAATAAGAAATTATTATACCTTTTGTTTTACTACAGCATCGGTACGCTTCCTGTGCACAGATTATTAAGGATGCTTGTTTCAGCTGTGAGATTAGACGATAGGATCAATGAAAAAAATAAGTTGTCTCACTCTCCATGGAAACTTTCAGAGAATCCACAAATAGTGGCTTTCAAATGGTTTTGTTACTTTTGCAACTTTAGAAAAGATGAGACAGCATGTCTGATAATGTAGTTTTTCATCTGATAGTACTAGAACATGTCAGTCATGTCTGAGGGGCTTTTACAAACACTGTATAACTAACACTCCTGGAGAGGGTATGAATTACACAGAGGCTTCTGGGGAGACCTGTTATGGGGGTAGGGGTGGGGGTGGGGAGTGAGGGGGTGGGGGGGGGGTGTCATTTTGCCTTGGCCCCCAAAATGTCTTGAAACGGCCCTGGGTGTGTGACTGAGTTTTGAAGGTGATCTGAACTGTATCAGATGTATAAATATGACATGTGTATAACTTATTGTTTTATACAGGTAAAAACCGTAAAAACGTGTAGTGGAGATAAATCTACCTACAATTGACTTTTCAACTCTTTGTTTTGTTTTCTTGTTTTTATTTAACTGTTTTTCTGTCCTGTCTGTCTCTCATCTTCCTGCATCTTCTCTAAACTCTCAAGAAAAACTGCTGCCTGGATTCTTACTTTTTCACCTCATCAGTTACTTCTGAGCAGATCAAAGGCATCTCCTGACCGTAAAGCGGACAGCGCGTTTCGATGCTGCGTCAGTGAGGTGAAATCACCGCAGCACAGGTGATGATCTCCGCAGTAGCAGAGCGCTTCAGGCACAAATAAGACAGAAAGTAGAGAACAGGTGCGGACATGAACAATTGTGTGTTAATTATAGTTTTTTGGTTGCGCCGCTTTGAGAATGGACCGTGCGCTGGAAGCAGCAGCCTGGATCGCTGCGCAGCAACGCAGCGTTGTGCCGCTCTCTGTGCTCTCTGCTCAGAAGAGTCCATGAAGGATGTAACATAGGTAGAAAACTTTTTTCTGGCTCCCCTGGATGTGTAGGATATACAGCTCCCCCATAATTCGATCCCTGCTCCTGGATGAAAAGCCGGACATTTTCATCAGTACAGGACCCCCTGGACAGAGAGTGAAAAGTGGACATGTCCGGAGAAAACAGGACGTACGGTCACCCTAGTTAAATATAAAGCGAGAGATTACAGATAGGCCTACAGTATTTTGCTCGTGCCCTTGCTGCCCTGGGCCCCTTAGAGTTCGTGGGCCCTGGGCAATTGCCCAGTTGCCCATATGGTTTATCAGGCCTTGATCACAAGCACTGATGCGTGAAAACGACTGAAGGATCAGAGTCACACAGTGTTTGCTTCTTATTAGCTGTTTTTCCCTCTTTCATTCAAACTAGAAATAACATTTAAAATTAATGTAATCACCCGAGTCAACTGAGCTCGCTAAGCCGTCGCTTTAATGTGTGTAACAACATCATGGAAAGTGTTTTTGCCCAAATACTTGTGAAAAACGGAAGTTGCACGTTTACAAAAACATGTAATGTGAGTTTGTGCAGGAAGATGATGGTTAACACATGAGAAACGCCAGAGGCAGCGGTCCGCCGAAAACTAGATCACTGAAAAAAAATATTCAAATGGTTCAGATGTGTGCTTCACTAAACTGTGGCAACATTGAAACTGTTTGTGATTCACCAGCTAGCTTAACGCTAGTTAACACTTGTTAACATTAGTTAATGCTGGTTAACAGTAGTTAGTACTGGTTGACATTAGTTGAAGCTGTTAATGCTTGTTAACATTTTAGGTGTGTTCTTGCTGTGTCGTATCTAGTTCCATGCTGTAGTTCTTTTTTAAAACACAGAGCAGTTTTGTTTACCTGTTTTCCCGCTACGTTTCGTTTGCGGCTGCAATCTTCCTCAGGCTGACGCTGATGGTGGTGGTGTCACTTCCTTCTCCGTTCATCCTTGTTAACATTAGTTACTGCAGGTTAATGCTAGTCAACACTGGTTAACATTAGTAAATGCTTGTTAACATTAGTTAACATTAGTTAACAAGGGTTAACACTTGTTAACATTAGTTAATGCTGGTTAATGCTAGTTAGCACTGGTTAACATTAGTAAATGCTTGTTAACATTAGTTAACAAGGGTTAACACTTGTTAACATTAGTTAATGCTGGTTAATGCTAGTTAGCACTGGTTAACATTAGTAAATGCTTGTTAACATTAGTTAACATTAGTTAACAAGGGTTAACACTTGTTAACATTAGTTAATGCTGGTTAATGCTAGTTAGCACTGGTTAAC